AGGGATACTCTGTTCATGTCACCTTAGCTCAGTGATGGCTCTGCACTCCCCAGAGGACCACCTTTCTGGGGACTAGTTGCCAGGAGAAAAGTCAGAACCATGGCTGTAAATACCTCCCAGATTTCCTTGTGGCAGGTTTCCTTGTGTTTGCTCATGATCAAATTCCAGCAGGCTGAGAGGAATCGGGCAATGGTGTGGTGGCAAGGGACTGGTCTCCCGTCTGCTGAGTCACAGTGATCCACACCCCAAGCTGTTTACTCTTGCTATTCCTCTTGGGATTAACGAGTGCTAGAGCCTGCTTGCCTTGTTCAGCTCAGCTACTGAAACTGGCGGTGTGCAGGGTTCCAAGTCACCCAAGGGAGAGGCCAGGTAGGACCCAGGACAGTGGGGGCAGGGGCCCTCATGACTGCCCCCATCCATAGGGAAGTGGACAAGCTGCTCTCCTGGGGCTGTGGGTGGCCTGCCCTCCCTGCTGCGGGCCTGGGCCAGACTCCTGTACGAGAGCATAGGTAGGAAGACATCAACAGAGTCTAAGCATGCCAGGAGGGTGGGCAGGGGCAGCTGCAGGCGCTCTTGGTAAGACAGGGTTGAAGACCTCTCATCTTTCCCAGGCCTCTCATTTGGGCTGAGGGTCACAGGGGAAGGAGATGCCTAGGGACATGTGGTTGACTTAGTAGGAGGAGCAGGACCTGACTAAGATCTCCGGCCACCAGTATCTGGTCCACTGGGGCAAGGGGACTGGCCTACCACTTGCCTGTTGTTGCCCAAGTTTGACCTCAGTCCCCAGTTTTATAAGCCCAAACCACTGCTGTTGTCTGTACATGAGCGTTTTGGTGCATAGGGCAAGAGCTCTAGAGGTTGGCTGCCAGCTGGAGGTCCAGCAGGGCTTGGCCATCCCAGTCCCTCTAGGGTCACCCAAGTCAAGATTGTGTTGGGCCTCATGGGCTCCACCCTGGGTGCTGGCTGGGGTCCAGCCGGCACACAGCCACTGGGAGAGAGAACCTAGGGGCTACTGAGGTAGGCTCAGCTGCTAAAGTAACACAAGGGCCTCCCTCTCTCCCCTTGGGGCTTGTGAATCACCAGGCCTTTGGGGGAGTGCCACCATCATCATGACACAGCAAGAATCTTATCAGCCCAGAGATGTCCCAAGGAGAAGGAGGGGCTGAGGTTGCCAGGTCATCCCTACACAGGGCCAACATCGGGGTGGGGCCTGAGTACCCATCCAGCCCAAGGCCCTTGTGGTTTGGGGAGGGGTGGGGGTGAGACTGAGGTCCCCGCAGGGAGACAATCCTCCCCAAGCAGAGCCACTCTCTGTTACCCCCACCCCACTCTCCATCCCCTGCCGTGAGGTCCTATCAGATGGGGGAGGACTTGATCTGCTGGGCCCAGCCTCCTCCCCCAAGCTGGCCTTGAGGAGAAACTGGTTTCTCTCATTCCAGAGCTTTCCAGACTGGGATAGTTAAGTACCTCCACTCCCTTCCTGGCTGGGGGGAAGGCACCAAATAGCAACGGAACAGAGAGCGGCTCAGAGCCTGTTGGGTAACTCTGTGAGCCAGCATCAGGACGCCCCCGGGAAGGAAGCTGGGCATGTGGGCAAGGATTGGGTAAGCAGGTGAGGGAGGAGAAAGGGGCAGAGGATGGCCACGTGGGCCCAGCTAGCCACCGAGGGCTCTGTGTCTGCTCTTCCCTTTGTGCGGCTCTGCAGGCCCTCCTCATGGGACCTATATGCTGGGGTGGGGGCTGGGGACACACGGGCCTGTTTGTGTCACCTGTGCCACTCTGTACTCTTTTTGGGCTACTAATCCATCTCAGGTTCTGGCCCCTCCACACACAGGTCCCATGAGGAGGGTGAGGCCGTGCTCAGGGTATGGCAGATGACGCACTCAGTCACTATTTGTTGGGCGAATGAACAGAGGATTTGCTGGTTTCCCAGAGCAGCAGTTTCTGGGAGGGCAAAATCTCAGTGACACCCTGCCTGTGTCCTGCAGAGGGAGGCGGCTTGGGAGCCAGGTGGCTGGAGCCATTCTACGCATTGCCTGAGCACAGGGACCGCCGCACTGCCTAGGAGAGGGGAGGCCCCCTTGTCCTGCCCCACTCCACCCTCCTGGAGTGGCCCGTCCCTGCTCTGCTGTGGAAGCCTCCTGTTATGGCTCCCAGAGTAGAGGAGAGCAAAGGGGAACCTGAAGGTTGCAAAGAAACAATTGCCCAACCCTAAGCTGACGACAGGCAGAGAGAGTGAGGAGACACAGAGACACAGAATCAGCTTAGCAGAGCCTGAGGACCCTTGGCACTTGTTCCCAAAACCCTGTTCTACATGGAAGTACTAAGGTTCACAGAAGAGAAGAACTATGCCCCAGGTCACCCGCAAGCTTGGATGTTCTCAATGAGACGTGTCATGGAGTCTGGAGTCGTAACCATTTGTGGTGACCTGGTATGCTCTGTTGGAGTGCCCTGGGGCAGGCTGATATGGGGATGGGGGAAGGAGGAGACATAAACTGGGGTTACTCTCCCTTCAGACCTATTTGTTGCATGAAGGCCTAATGGTCAGAGTCCCAGCTGTTAGGGCTTTTGGCCAGCACAGGTATGGCTCTTCTAAGGGGACCACACTAGGGCCAGGGCGGGGACCAAGGCTGCTCCCCATGTGCTCCTCCTGGGTACCCGCAAATCTTGGGGTTACGGGGAGTCAGAGGACAGTACTTGGTATGGGCCTCCCTCCCCTCCCACTGGCAAAGCCCTTCTCCCCTGCACCACCTCCAGCTCTCTTTTTCCAAGTTCTGATTAGAATCACAAAGCTGGCAGGACACAGGCTCTGCAAAGCGTGGCAGCTTGCCATGATATGTGAACAAAGAACCAAGTTTGTCCAGAGCTGAGGGAACCTTGATTGTGGAAGGCACACAGAGACAATGCCTATTGTGTCAAGAACTAACCAGTTTCAGCAGAACTCACGCTCAAGATTATATAAGCTACGAGCAAAGATGTTCATGTGACAGTTAGCAGCTTCTCGGTCATGTCCAGAGTTAAAAGTAAAAAGAGGAACCCACTTTTACTTTGAGATGAAACCCTGGCAGCTCATCTCACCAGTGCCTTCCTGCACATCCTGCCACCTGGCAGACCTCATTCTACGCCACACACAGGCAGGGTGCTTTAGTCTGGGGGTCATGGCTCCACTAGGACCCACCTGCCCTCTGCTGTCTCCAGCTTTATCAATGTGCTATACCTGCGTCTCTGCTTCTACTCTGGCTTTCCCCACCAGAGCAATATGGCAGTTTCATTGGCTATACAATGGGTCAGGGTGGAGCTGGAAGGGTCCTTAAGCAATGTCACATCCTAGTATGGTTTTTAAGATGTGGGCTCTGGGGGATACTCACCGATGCACCCATAATGATAAAAATATGTGTATCGGACTGATGGAAGGCATCGCCCTGGCACAGCTCTTCCCGCAGGATCCCACACACCTGGGTCCGGCTCAGGGCAACCTGCTCTGCCATGATGCTCTCTGCTGGAAGAAAGGCTTGTTGACAAGGAACGAGAACAGAAGAGCATTGAGAAGTCGGCCCCTTTCTTGAGGGTTCCTTTGGGCTCTCACCCGGCTGATACCTGATTACTGAAACCACTCTCTGTGAATGGCAGCGACGGCGGCGGGGGCAGAGTAGGGGACGAGCGCGGGGAGGTGTGTGGCAGGGTGTGTGATGGAGGCTTAGAAACTATTGCTTCTGGGCTCCGGCCATACTCTGTAGGTTGCCTTTCACACATGTACTTTACAAAGTTACCCAAGGCATTACTGAATTCCAGCTAGAGCCTCAATTCTGGGGGACCAACTAAGACCCTACTGCAACATTGCACGACCTGCTTAGGACCATCTCACCTCGGACTCAGGCGAAAAGTCCATAATGAGCTGGAGCATGTTAGACCATGCAGTTGATGGAATGTAACTCCAGCTCACCTCTTGCCATGCAGGAAGGTCGCGGCAAATTCCCGCCCCTCTCAGGGTCTCGTTCTCCCCAGGAATTCAATGGGGGGGGGAATGCAGGGGACAGTGGGATCGGCTAAGATCCTCTCGAGATTTTATCCCGCTCCTGAGCACAGCAAATCAAAGAGCCTCGCAGCGTAGCATGCTCTCTGCCGGCGCGGCACCCGCCCACTACTTTACCTGCGCCTTGCCGCCGCTGCCACCGCCCGCCGCGGTTACAACTCCGTAGTTCCCGGCTGTTTCCGGTAGCTGCTCCCCGCCGGCCCATTTAAGCGACGGGGGCGGGCGATTGGTCTGAGCTGACCAGCCTCAGGCGAGGCGCGCGGGCGGGACCTCCGTGGGGCCCACCCCGCGGGAGCTGGGCGGGGCGATGGCGGGAGCAGGTGCGCACGCATCCCAGGTTTGCCTCTGGCTCCTCCTCCCACCTCCACTCTCCGCCCAGAGCAAGGACCTCCCCTTATCCCGCCCCGTCCCTTGGGCACCTGCGCCGGCTACCCGGACGCGAGCCGCTTGTGCCAGCTGTCGATGCACCGCGTTCCCAGTGCCTCCCGGGTCTGCGTGCAGCTCCGCGCCGTTCGCCCGCGTCCCTATCACCGGCCCGGTTCTGCCCCTACAGCCCAGGTTTCTTGCCCGCCCCGGACAGCCCGGCGCCCTCGCGGAGGGCCCTACTTCCGCCGGCAGCTTGGCCACGCCTCGTCGACCCCATTTATGGGCGTGGCTTCTACAATCCCGTCCCTCCCCGGACAGGTCGACGGCTTGGGTCAAACCGGCCCTATTTAGGCAGTCTCATCGTGGCACCTCCTCCGACAGGGGCGGGGTGGCTGGGCAGTCGGGAATCTGGAGGCCCGTGCCCGAGAGACAAGGGGGAGTGTGAGTTGAGACGCCCGAGAAAAGTAGCGGGTAGTGCACATCATTAGGCAGCGTCCTGCATTATCGTTTGCACAGCGGCTGGCAGGCAACGGATCCTCCCTGGAGCAGCCTCCTTCGCACCTCTCTCTGGCCTCGGGCGGGGCAGGGCGGGGCTTGTGTTTTACTTCCGGATCTAGCAGTACGATACAGGAAGTCGGAAGTGAGAATTTAGCGGGAGAAGGGAAGGGCGACGCGGAGCCCGGACTTTGTCGGAGCGCCGGGGCGCAGGAGCGCTAACAACCCGCCGCTGCCGCCCTTCTCACGTCGGACCGACTCTGCTGACAGGTGTGGTCCTCTTCCCCGAAGGCAGGGTACCACCGGTGGGCGTTCTGCCCCCTCAGGGGCTTCCCCGGAGGTCCAGGCTGTTGGGCGCCAGCTTCCAGAGCACTAACCGATGCAGGACCCTGGTTGCTTTCGCGGCTAGAGGGGCTGTTTCTGCCTCTTCCTCGTCTGCCACCGCGGAGTCTGACCACTAGAATGTCTAGTTCGGAGACATTCTGTCATCAAACTTGACTGTATTTGAGGTCGTTAAACTATTTAAAAAGGCCTCAAATATGGTTTGGCAGCTAAGTATCTTACCTCATGTACTTCAGTTTGCTCACTTTGCAAAACGATTAATGTCTACCTGACCTCATACCATTTCTGTGACTTGAAGACTCATGGGCCATCTGGCATGTTCAAGGAACAGCAAGGAGGACACTAGAGCTGGAGCAGAGTGAGCTAGGAGAGAGTACTTGGAGAGGAAGTCATGGGGACCAGTATGCGGTGCCTTGTAGACTGTGTAGGGACTTTGGCTCATACGTGGAGGGCAATGAAGAACCATGGTGGGGATCTGAGCAGAGGAGGGACGTGATCGGAATTACTTTTTAGGCTGACTGTACTGGCCGGGGCAGGGAGGAGAGACTGTCCCAACAAGGGTATGATCAGCGTAATCTGTTAGGAGGTTATTGCAGTAACACAGGTGAGAGATGATGGTGCTTTGAGGATTTCATTATGAGACGTTTCAAAAATGTAAAAAATGTAGAATGAATAGTTTGGTAAACCCTGTGTGCCCACCTTCAACCTTCAACAGGCTAATATTTAATTTATATCGCTCAGAATCCTTTCTCATTATTATTTCAGGTTTTATTGAGGTATAATTAATGTATCACACAACTCAGCCATTTAAAGTGTACAGTTCACTGGTTTTTAGTTTATTCATATAGTTGGGGAACCATCAGCACTAATTCCAGAACATTTTCATCACTCCAAAAAGAAAGCCAGTACCCTGTAGCTATCATGCTCTTCATCATTTCATTTCCCCAGCTCTAAGCATTTCTGTCCCCATAGATTTGCCTGTTTTGGGCAGTTCACATACATGCAATGGATTCACTCAATATGTGGCCCTCGTATCTGACTTTCAGTTAGTGTACTGTTTCGAGGTTGATCCACACTGTCACGTGTGCAAGTAGTTCATTCCCATTTATGGCTGAGTGATACTCTAGCATGTGGAGGGACCACATTTTGTTTATCCATTCTTCAGTTGATGGACATTTGGGTCATTTCTACTCTTTGGCTGTTATGAGTAAGGCTGCTGTGAGTGTTCGTGTGTGGATGTACGTTTTCATCTCAGGTGGGTACTGAGGAGTCCCCCATTATTTTGAGGGTGAGTATCAGGCACCATCTGTAAGTACTTCATTATGCATCTCTCAGAAAGGACTTATAAAGTCACAAGCACAATACCACCATCACACCCAACATAGTTACCATTAATTGCTTAGTGTCATCAAATAGGTTCTGGGATACATTTTGACAGGATTTCTTGATGGCTTAGATGTGAGCTGTGAGAGACACAGGAGTCAGAGGGGGATTCCCAACGTTTATGTCCTGGTAACTGGTGCATGGATTTGCCATCGATGGTCAATAATGAAGGCTGTGGGCAGAACTGGCTTTTGGGAACTGTTGAGGGAGTAGTTTTAGAGATACGCAAGTGGAGATAATGAGTTGAATATGTGAGTCTGGAGTTTAGGAAACAGGTCTGATTTTGAGCATCAACAGCATTAAGATGGGGGTTAAAGGCATGAGGCTGGATGGAATTAGTATGGGAGTGACTAGTCAGAGAAGAGAAGAGAAGAGATCTCAGGACAGAGTCCTGGGGTGTTGCGACCTGAAAGGGTTGGCTGACCAGAGGGTCCACTGAAAGAGCCTGAGCAGGAACAGCCAGTGAGGAAGGGGAAAGCCAGGAGAGAGGCTGTTCTGGAAGGCGAGCGAGGGGTCAGTCATTGGTCAGATGCTGTTGTTGGGCTAGTGGGGGTGTTCAGGGGAGCAGTGTCCATGTAATAATCAGAAATCCCAGTTTATGCGGGGTTAAAGTCTCCTCCCTCAGCTCCTGGAAACTTGTATTGGGATTGGCCTCCTCTTCCAGGTGGTTAGTCATCTTGGGCAGGATTTAAAAGGGCTCTGGGCTGGGGCTGCCCTGCATGGCCTCCTCTGCTCTAATTCACAAGAGAATGCAAACAGCTCAGCCTGTTTCTCTGTCCTGCTGTCTCAGGCTCAACTCTCTCTGTCAGATTCCTCAGCAACCATTAGATACTAGATGTCACCTTCAGCCCCTTAGTTCCAGTGAATACTCTAGTTCTGAGTGTCTCAAAGCCCCTTTTGCTAGGTGTATTGATGTCCTAGGGCTGTGGTAAGAGAGAACCACAAGCCAAGTGGCCTTTTAACAGAAATTTATGCTCTCCCAGTCTGGAGGCCAGAAGTTTGAAGTCAGGGTGTGGGCAGGGCCGAGCTTCCTCCAGAGGCTCCAGGGGAGGGTCCTTCCTCGCCTCCTCCAGCTTCTGGGGACTTCAGGCATTCCTTGGCTTATGGCCACATCACTGCAGTGTCTGCTTTGACATTTATGTAGCCTTCTCTGTGTCTGTGTCCCTCTTTCTCTGACTCTAATAAGGACACTTGTCATTGCATTTAGGGCCCACCCTACTCCAGGATGATCTCATCTCAAGATCCTTCATTTAATTACATCTGCAAAGACCCCTTTTCCAAATAGGGTCACATTCACAAGTTCTGGGAGTCAGGATGTGGACATATCTTGTTAGGGGCCATCATTCAGCTCACTACATTACCGTGAGGGGCCAGAAGCGTCCACTCTTGCTTGAAGCTGTGTGTAGTCAGTAAGATTCCCAGCACACTGACACCTCCCTCCCAAAATAATCCTCTCCCTTATTTCTCCTGTCTGGCGAGATTCTTAACTCCAGTTCACAGCTTGGAGGTAGGTGCTAGACAGAGTTTATAACCAGTGCTGAGCCATGGCCTTTCCAAGTCTCACACAATGAGCCTGCACCTCCCTTTTGAATGGGAGTATTTGCCACCACTTAAACTGAAAAACCCATGTTAGCATCCTATTACACCCGACAAAGTGCTTGGCATTCTGCTTGAAGTGCGGCTCAGAGCTCCTGCACAGAGTGTGCCCCTTGTGCTGTGTGGGTCTCATGTGGCCCTTTGGCTGCCTTTCTCTCACAGACCCTGACTTCTTGGATGAGTAGGCACCCCTGGAAGAGTCAGCTGTGTGACATGGTGCAGCCTAGCAGTGGCCCAGCAGGGGACCAGGACGTGCTGGGCGAAGAGTCCTCTCTGGGGAAGCCGGCCATGCTGCACTTGCCTTCAGAGCAGAGCACTTCTGAGACGTTCCAGCGCTGTCTGGAGGAGAATCAAGAGCTCCGAGGTGAGGAAGACGGCGGTGTGTGGAACCCTGCTAGGAGGAAGGCTTATTCCACTCACCTGTGTTTCTGCTTTCACTGGGTCTGGGGCAGTTGTGCACCTGAGAGCCGGCTAGCAATTCAAGCACAGCCACCCTCACTTTGTTTCAGGTGGGGTCCCTGGAAGTGGACTCTGAGATAAGAGATTAGCATGCAGAAGTTTACTTAGAGTGCTCTCCGAACCAACACTGGGGAAGGGGAGGGAAGGACGGAGGAAGCAGGGGTGGGTGGAGGCAGAAGCTGGGCTGCAGTGCCGGCTGAACCTCCAGGGAGCTGCAGAGCTGAAATGACCCTTCTGAGTTGTCCCAAGTTCAGCCTATACGTGCTCACACTGATCAGTCGTGACGCGCTGCCTGCCAATCCTGGGAAGGGGCGTGCGGGCCGCTTTGGGAAAGGTTCGGGCTTTGGGTCTCCCTGCGCGGGGCTTGACCCCAGGCCTGGTGGCTCTCTGAGGTGTCCCCAGCTGCAAGCTGTGCTCTAGCAGCTGTGTCCCGTGGCTGAGGTGGAGTACTTTCCTGGCCGTCCCATCCCTGTCTCCATGACAGACCCCGACTCACTCATCGTCCACGTCCTCCCCGGTACCCGGGGCAGCTTCTGCAGGCCCCGGCGGCCATTGCACTGTGCCCCTCATGCGGCTTGGCTGCCCTCAGATACGGCCCATTTCTGCCCCTTGTGTGTGACAGTTGCGTGTTGTCACGTGCCCTCTGATCATGCCCTTGGTGGCTTCTTTTCTGGCCTGCTGCTCCTTTGGCATGAGTAGCCCCAGGTGGCCTCCCTAGCTGCACATTTAGTGAGACTCTTGTATTTCTGGTCTGGGGACTTTCTAGACCACAGAGCTCAGACCTGCAGGGAGGGGTGGCACAGACTCCCCAGGTGGGTCGTGGGGACTTGATGGGGCATGAGGCCCCTTTGCTTCATTCCTTGGTTTCTGTTGGGAACTCAGGGCTTATCAAGGTCACAGCTTCTGTGGACGCCATATCCTAGAGGCAGTGCTTCGTCCTTGCAGGAATTGCCCCCAAGCCAATGCCCCAGTTGCTGTCAGTCAGCCATCCACCATCTTAGTGGGCTAGAAGATTGACACGATACAGCCAATGGAGGCCACCGTCATGAGGTCACTCCCCCACCTCCTCTGCTGGACAGTGTGTCCCCTGGCATGATGGGATGTTACATGGTGCTCTGTAGGCTTGAGAGAGTGGTGCCTGAGGCCCTCCAGGCAAGGACCAAATCTGTGTCTGGAATCTGTGTTTCTTCCTGTCAAGGTGATTTGCTTCCCTTCCGAGGATGGAAGGGGTCCAGTGCAGTCAACTTGCCACTGAGGACCACTGTTTGGTCTCCTGGAGGACTGGCTTGCTTTGGAGACAGCTCTGCCTTGAGCCAACAAGACCTGCCTGCCTTTAGGGCAGGGTGCTCCACCTCTGCACTTCAAAATCTAGGTGCTGTCCTGGGTACTGCAGGGTGTAGAACAACATCCCTGGTGTCTACCCACTAGATGCCAAAAGCAGTCTTTCAGTCAGCCAACAGTGTCCCCAGATGTTGTCAAAATCTTTCGCTGTGTTGGGGCCACATAGAGCTGGCAAGCCAGGTTTGGGGGTAGGGAGGCACAGTGGCCTCTGCTTGCTCCTAGGAGAGCACTCTGACAAGGGGGACTTGGGGGCCAGTGTGTGGTAGGCTGGCTTTGTGGGGACCGTGGCTCCCCTGGGCCCCACCCTCCCAACCTGGGCTCCACTGGCAGGTGGATGCCTTGAGCTGCATGGCCTCCCCCGACCTGCCCTTGTGCAATGAGTTGGCTCCTCATGTTCCTGCTAAACGGGTGCTGTGCGTGCAGCCCTAGGCCAAGCCCTGGGGCCCTGATGCTCATGATTGTGTCCATGCAGGAAGACAGGAGAAAGGGTACATAGACTTTGCTTGGAATGTTTGGGAGGAAACTTTGTGGAGGAAGTTTCATGTACTTAGTGCAGGAGTTCACTTACGTGGTGTGTCCTGGAGAGGTGAATGTGAAGAGAAACAGTGGGTAACGGGGGCTGTGGGTGAGGTGGGGAGTGATGCCCGCGGGTGTGGGGTTTCTTTAGGGCGTGATGGAAATGTTCTGGAACTAGGTAGAGGTGATGGGTGCACAGCATTGTGAATGCGCTGAATGACTATGTATACTTTAAAATAGGTAAAATGCTGAGGTTGATGTTACATGCATTTCACCTCAATAAAAAAAGCAGCTGCACATGAGCTCAGCCTCGGGCAGGGGTCTGGGCAGGATTGCGACAGGTAGAGGCTGGTGGGGAAACAGTGTGCCAGGGGCAGGAGGACCCAGTACAGGCCCTTGCTCAGTGTCGCTCCCCTGCAGGGGAAGAGTCACATGGGGACAGTAGAATGCCGAAGGTGGCTTTGGAGCTGGCTTCTGAGGTCACTGTAGTTCCAGCAAAACGATGTTCCTTCAGCAAGCACCAGTGAGCCAGTGAAGGATTTGATCAGAGAGTGATATGATGCTGCTGTCTGCCCCCATCTTACATAGTTCTGTAGCTGCTAGAACCTTGGTATGTCACTAATCACTTTTGTCACCCTCAGTGGTCTGCTGCCTGGGGTGTCCCCTGGGTGTGTGACTTCCCTTTCCTCAGCCTTTGCTGACTGCCTGCCATTTACATATGCTCCGCCTTCAGCCCCAGGGACTTGGTCTGCTTCTCATCTAACCCTCATCTTGTGTGGTGGGTGTGACTGTGCCTATTGACCATGCAGATGGAGATGATGAGGCTCATTTCCAAGCCTTCCGGCCCTCCCAGGCCAAGGCTAGTAAAGCCATCAGGAGGTTCGCCCCAGTGGTTGTCTTCTGAGTCTGCAGGTAGGTTAGGGCCTCCTGATCAGGGGACACCTACCGCATGCCCCAGGGCAGGCTCACCCCCGACCTGCCGGAATGGAAAGGAATTCCACAGTCACTTACAAAGCAAGTGCATGGTGCACACTTTTATGTATGTATGTATGTATGTATCTATTGAAGCAGAGTAAGTTTTATTTAAAGTTACTTAGAGAAGAAGTGCAGCAGGCATCCTCAGCAAGGACAGGCGCCTTGAAAGGTTGGAGAGAGAAATTTTAAGATTAAATGGTTACACACTTAGAAAGAGACCTCAGAGAGAGGAGCCTGGTGCACACTTTTAAATGAAACTGATGTGTCTAGTATTGCGGAGAAATTTAGGGGCATATCACTAGTGTGATTGATTTTTAAAGTGTTTCATGAAAGAAAAAGGAAGATTTGAAGGTACCTCTCTGGGTACAAGGCTGGGCAGTATTATGAAGGTGGCACTGTGATGGGTGCCATGGCTGTCTGGGTGCTAAGGCTCACCGCCCCTTTGCTGTCTTCTCTGTCACCAGATGCCATCCAGCAAAGCAACCAGATGCTGCGGGAGCACTGTGAGGAGCTGCAGCGTTTCCAAGGCAGCCAGCGGGAGGAGAAAGAGTTCCTTATGCAGAAATTCCAGGAAGCAAAGAAACTGGTGGAGAGACTGAGCCTGGAGAAGCTCGACCTGAGGAGACAGAGGGAGCAGGCCCTGCAGGAGATGGAGCACCTGAAGAGATGCCAGCAGGTAGCTTGGGGCAGGGCAGGGTGCCCCCCCCCACCTTCTGGGAACACTGGCATCCCTGTGGGTTTTTAGAACCCGTTTCAGAGGAATAGCTCTCAGGTCCTTGAGAAAGACTGTCCTGGGTTCTAGGAGATGCACAGAGATCTCACAGGGATAGAGGAAGCAATCCCAGTTGGGTGGCCATTGTAGTAAATGCTCTAAGGAAGCGAGGTGGGTACCTATGTCAGGAAAAAACAGGGCCTGTCTTGGCTGGAACAAATAGTTAATTCTGGCAGCATTGAGCTCTCCCAGGCAGACATGCCCATGGGGGACGGGGTCATCCCAGGGCCGTGGCCCCAGGCTGCTCAAAGCCATGTTACATTTTGGTCAAGTCTCTGAGTGCCGGAATTTGGATGGAGTCAAAGTCATTCTGTGCTGATTTCTTTTGTAGTTCTTAACAGTCATTGGATTGTGGCCTGTCCTCCAGCTCCTCCAGTACGACCTCAGCTTAACTTTGCATCTGCAAAGACCCTGTCTCCACACTAGGTCCCAGTCACAATACTGGGGGACAGGACGTGGGCATATCTTTCTGGGGCCACCATTAAACCCACACCAATCCTGAGCTGGTGTACTCAGTGCAGAATGAGAAGGAGTAAGATGCCCTCTACAGAATGCCTTCAGAGCACCCACCTGGCACAGTCCTGGGCACTCCCTCTCTGCCTGCTGCTTCCTCATGTGATGGGATGCTGCTTTTCCCACAGTGACAATGGCCACTGCCCTCTTCCTAGTTGACAAGTCTGACAGTAGCAGGTATTGGGGGGGATATGGTTTCATATTGCTGGTGGCTATGTCACTTGGTACCAGCTACTTTGGAAAACTTGAGCATTTCCTCCTAAAGTTGACAATTCAGGCTGCCCCCTGAGTCAGCAGTCTCCCCCCAGGCATGTACCAAGAGAAACTCTTGTTTGTACACTGACCACAGGAGATGGGGTAAAATGGCCACCCCAACAAAAACCTGGGCCCCATCCAAAAGCCCATTACTTGGGAAACTGGTAGAGTCACAGGTCAGAAATTTTTTTAACATCTTTACTGACATAAAATTCATACTCAAAGTGTAAAATTCAATTATTTTTAATATACTCATAGTGTTGTACAACCATCATTTTCTATGTACTTTTAAAACATTGTCATCCCCTCAAAAGAAACCCCATCCTGATTAGCAGGCAGTCTCTATACCCTCCCCCAGCTCTGAGCATCCAGTAATCTGATTTTTGTACCCATAGATTTGCCTGTTCTGGACAATTCACATACATGGAATGGAATAACTCAATATGTGGCCCTCATATTTGACTTCTTTCACTCAGCATACTGTTTTTTTTTGCATGCAAAATACATATTTAGAGTGAGAAAATAAATTCCTATAAATTACAAACTTTAAAAAGCTATTATAAACACCATAATCATGAAATCAGAACAGTTAAGACATTTCTGCATAACTACATGACATGCCCCTATACTTTTTTTTCCTACAATTTTGGATGCATGCTCTTCATATAGCAATGATTTTATTTATTATTTATTTTTAAAATTTTTCTTAAGGTATCATTCATATACACTCTTATGAGGGTTTCACATGAAAAACATTGTGGTTACTACATTCACCCATATTATCAAGTCTTCCCACATACCCCATTGCAGTCACTGTCCATCAGTGTAGTAAAATGCCCTACTTGTCTTCGCTGTGCTACACTGTCTTCCCTGTGTACCCCCCACACCATGTGTACTAATCATAATACCCCTCAATCCCCTTCTCCCTCCCTCCCCACCCTCACCCATCCCTCCCCTTTGGTAATGACTAGTTCATTCTTGGGTTCTGTGAGTCTGCTGCTATTTTGTTCCTTCAGATTTGCTTCGTTGTTGTACTCCACAAGTGAGGGAAATCATTTGGTACTTGTCTTTCTCTGCCTGGCTTATTTCACTGAGCATAATGTCCTCCAGCTCCATCCATGTTGTTACAAATGTTAGGATTTGTTTCTCTCTTATGACTGAATACTATTCCACTGTGTATATGTACCACATCTTCATTGTGTATATGTCCACCACTGATGGACACTTAGGTTGCTTCCATATCTTGGTTATTGTAAAAAATGCTGTGATAAACATAGGGGTGCATGTGTCTTTTTGAATCTGAGAAGTTGTATTCTTTGGGTAAATTCCAAGGAGTGGGATTCCCAGGTCAAATGGTATTTCTATTTTTAGTTTTTTGAGGAACCTCCATACTGCTTTCCACAATGGTTGAACTAGTTTACATTCCCCCAACAGTGTAGGAGGGTTCCCCTTTCTCTGCATCCTTGCCAGCATTTGTTGTTGTTTGTCTTTTGGATGTTGGCCATCCTAACTGGTGTGAGGTGATATCTCATGGTGATTTTAATTTGCATTTCCCTGATGATTAGTGATGTGGAGCATCTTTTTTTAAAAATGACAATCAATTTTATTTTATGCTATAACTTAACATTTGTATTAAAAATACAAATATAAAAATCAGTACTTTCTGTGCTATCACTTGATATTTGTGAACATTTAATACATTTTCCAGAGTTAATGATCTTTTTATCTTTATTTTTATTTTATTTTGGTATCATTAATCTACAATTACATGAGGAACATTATGTTTACTAGGCTCCCCCTGTCACTAAGTCCCCCCCACAAACCCCATTGCAATCACTGTCCATCAGCATAGTAAGATGCTGTAGAGCCACTACTTGTCTTCTCTGTGTTGCACAGGCCTCCCCATGCCTCCCCCCACATTATACATGCTAATTGTAGTGCCCCCTTTCTTTCCCCCTCTCTTATCCCTCCCTTCCCACCCATCCTCCCCAGTCCCTTTCCCTTTGGTAACTGTTAGTCCATTCTTGGGTTCTGTGATTCTGCTGCTGTTTTGTTCCTTCAGTTTTTCTTTGTTCTTATACTCCACATATGAGTGAAATCATTTGATACTTGTCTTTCTCCACCTGGCTTATTTCACTGAGCATAATACACTCTAGCTCCATCCATGTTGTTGCAAATGGTAGGATTTGTTTTCTTCTTATGACTGAATAATATTCCATTGTGTATATGTACCACATTTTCTCTGTCCATTCATCTACTGATGGACACTTAGATTGCTTCCATTTCTTGGCTATTGTAAATAGTGCTGTGATAAACATAGGGTGCATATGTCTTTTTTCAAACTGGGCTTCTGTATTTTTAGGGTAAATTCCTAGGAGTGGAATTCCTGGGTCAAATGGTATTTCTATTTTGAGCTTTTTGAGGAACCTTCATACTGCTTTCCACAATGGTTGAACTAATTTACATTCCCACCAGCAGTGCAGGAGGGTTCCCTTTCTTCACAACCTTGCCAACATTTGTTGTTGTCTGTCTTTTGGGTGGTGGCGATACTTACTGATGTGAGATGATATCTCATTGTGGTTTTAATGTGCATTTCTCTGATGACTAGCGATGTGCAGCATCTTTTCATGTGTCTGTTGACCATCTGAATTTCTTCTTTGGAGAACTGTCTGTTCAGCTCCTCTGCCCATTTTTTAATTGGATTATTTGCTTTTTGTTTGTTGCAGTGCATGAGCTCTTTATATATTTTGGATGTTAACCCTTTATCGGATCTGTCATTTATGAATATATTCTCCCATACTGTAGGATGCCTTTTTGTTCTATTGATGGTGTCCTTTGCTGTACAGAAGCTTTTCAGCTTGATATAGTCCCACTTGTTCATTTGTGGTCCTTCATGGCAGTCCCAGGGCATGCCTACAGGCACAGGAGTGGTAGGGCAGCCCAGGCGGAAGCCCACTGCATCTGTGTTGGAAGGGGACTTGGAACAGCATGGGCTCCAGGACAGATTGAAGCAGGGGTGCTTGTTAATGGGGCCTGCTGGAAGGCATAGGCATGGAGATACTGAGCAGGCAGTTTGATTGCTAAGTTCAAGTTCAATAGACATGTCTGCCCTGGAGGTATGAACTAGGAAAAGCCTTGAGACGATCAGATTACCATGCATGTGCACATGGATGGAGCAGAGACATGGTCCTGGGACTGTGCTTGCAGATTAGATGCACGTGGGCCTGTGTGCATGCTCGTGACCAGGAGCCCAGGGTGGATGCAGAGGGCAGGAGTGGCATTACTAGAGCAGGCTACTGTGCAGGGGTTGGGGAAGCTGAAGATGGGCTTGACCCTGGGCTTAAGTTGCTCTCTTTGAGTCTTGCCTCCTTGACACCAAGCCTCAGAGGCTGGGAACTTCCTGCTGGGCTCAGCCATCATGGCCTAGTTGTCAGCCTCATGAGAATCAGGGACCTCTGTGTTCCTGTGTCCTTGGGGATGGGGAGGGGCTTGGGAGTGTGGGCTCATGGGACTTCAGCCCTTTCTACTGCCTCAGTTGCCTTGCTGAGGTCTGGAAGCTTCTAGAGGTGAGAGGTGAAATGAGTGTGGGTGTGAAGGGAAGGAAAGACATCTTCAGGGTGGCACATCTCAGTGCTTGCTGGCTGCCCTGGTACTTGGGGTCACCAGGGGAGGGCAGCTGGTGAGAAAGCATCACTGACAGGCAGTGGCTTTTTTTTTCCTGCAGCAGATGGTTGAAGACAAGGCCTCGGTGAAAGCCCAGGTGACGTCCTTGCTGGGGGAGCTGCAGGAGAGCCAGAGTCGTTTGGAGGCTGCCACCAAGGAGCGGCAGGCCTTGGAGGGCAGGTGAGTGGGGAGGGAAAGCCCACCCCAAAGCCAGTGTTGGGGTGTCAGAGAAGAGGGAGGCAGTGGAGGGCCTCCAGGGGCTCTGGCGAGAGAAAGTGCTGGAGATGTGGCACCTGAGCACACAGGGCTGTTGGGCCAGGGGCTCAGAGGAGCTGCAGGCCAAGCATGCAGGACCTGGCTCCCAGTGGCACTTGTGGGTTCTGACCTTCTGCTGGAGTTTGGATTATTTCCTTAGGGGTCGTTTTGGGAAGGTCCCAAGAGCATATCCATGACTCACGGTGGTTCTCAGAAGCGCTCCCAGTGTCCTCCCTGCTGAGGGTTGTTACCGGGAAAGCGCATACACCAGGGTCCATGAGGAGAGAAGGCACAGGTTGGGACTGGAGAACCCCATGCCTTAGGCTCCCTCCTTCCCAGGAGGGGTCAGCCGAGGGTATTCCCTTCTCCAGCAGTGACAAATGCATCACTTAGAGACCCAAGAACCCACTTGAGACTGTGTCCTGGGTTTTATTGAGGGCTGGTCATGCAGGCGCCCTCTGCCAGGCACACACCAAACTTCCTGACTCCCAGAGAAAAGCACATGCTCTGCAGAACACCATTGTGCAATGGCCCAGGTGCAAGGACTTGCACCAGCCCACTGCCCAGGTGCCAACCGAGGATCAACCTAGGGGCCGAAGCTAGTGGCTCCATGCTTGCAGGTCACTCTTTTCTGCAAAGGTGAGTTCCTGTAAGTGGGTTCATTGGCTGAGCCTGGTCACTCTGTCTTGTCGCATTCTGGTGGTTTCCTCTGTGTACTCTTCTGTACCCCCATGTCCCCAAAAGGCACACATGTAATTTTTAGGACAGTTTGGTCTTTCCTGCCTCTCTTTTTTCTATGCAAATATGAGAAGCTGATGGAGGCGTGACACTGTTGGGTTTCCAGCTGACTTTTGTCAGCTAGTGACTGCATGTATGTGTACTCAGGCAGTTGTAGGCTCTTTGGCAGTGTCCGTTCCTGTCCCTTCCCACGTGGTTGAGCATATAAATGCCGAGCTGGACAGCTCAGGGAATGAAGCCTTGCTTGCATCTCAGATCATTTGGTGCAGCCATTTAAACAGCTGCAAACTTCATACATATGGCTGCCTTCTGAGTCCCAGGTCGGTCATGTCAGAATGGCCTTCCTCCTTGTTCCAGGGCCCCTGGCAGGCAGCAGTTCCATCTGGTGATCATGATGACAGCACCTAACTTGTGTTGGATCACAGATGGAAGTATGTACTCACTGCATTTGGACAGGTACTGAGAAACAGTGAGGCCAGGGAAAATCCCTACTAACCTCCCCCACTGCGAAAACCCCACTGTTGCTCTTGGAGTCAGGACCATGGAGTGCCTGGGGACAGCAGGATGACATGGCTGGAGCTGGGAACTGGACATTTAGTAGGAGCTATGGGGAGATAGGCATGCAGATATGTGAGATGGGGTGATGTGAGCCAGGACCAGAAGGTTGGGGATGGTGGGGAGGCCAGGTGAGCAGAGCCAAGCAGTGATAGTGGGACTGACAAAGGCTGTGGCTGTCACTCAGTAGGCGGATGGGTGGCTCTTCCTCCAGGTGTGAGTGTTTGGGACTCCATTTGAGCCAGTGAGGTGGGCTAGTGGTCTCCTTGCCACTTCTAGAACAGCAGCTGGGAGGGAGCAAGTCCCCCTGATACTGGTGCCCTGTGGTTGTCCCTTTCTCTGGTGATGGTGCCTCCACTGTGGCACCTGGAGGCCCCCTTGCTCACCCTGCATCCAGCTCTAAGCTGACAGTTGGCAGGATTTTCTCAATCTCCGTCTTCCTGAACCTGGGCTGACTGCAGACTGCAGAGCTTCCACCACCCTCCAGCTCCACCTTCCTTTCCTGCCAGCCCTTCTCAGTGCAGCCATGTCCCCACTGCTGGACCCTTGTGACCTCCTCTCCCCCACCAGGGCCCGCGCGGCTGGTGAGCAGGCCCGGCAGCTGGCCAGTGAGCGGGAGGCACTGCAGCGGCAGCACAGCGTGCAGGTGGACCAGCTGCGCATGCAGAACCAGAGCGTGGAGGCTGCCCTGCGCGTTGAACGCCAGGCTGCCTCTGAGGAGAAGTAAGTGGGCTCCCAGCTAGGGGGATGGGGTCAGTGGCACTCTGCCTCCAGGGGAGCCCTTATGGGCATTGGCCTGGGCAAGGCTGAATCTGCCTCCTGCCCTTCCTGCACACAGTCAGCCTTTGGCTGAGTACCATGAAGTCAGCAAGCACAGGTGTACATGGCCCTGTGTCCGCATGCCTTTTGTTGGCATGCCTTTTGAGTCCCCTTTCAACTAAGAAAGTCTTGCCTTTCTGTTGTTTCCATGAACTTGCCTTTTTGAAAAGTGCAGGATGGTTCCTTTTTATTGTAAACATTTCTTTTTGTACTTTTAAAAATGTTAGCTTTAAGGAAAATATTAACCCTGCCTCAGAGCTGATGGCTTCTAAGGCACAAATGCACCTTGAGCCCCATTCTGGTCTGTGGCCATGACAGGAAGGAGGAGGTGGAGTTGGAAGCAGGAAGAGCTGTGGCTGGACCAGGACAGGTGGTTTTTCCAGCAAAAGCTCCTTTTCCTTAGGCGGAAGCTGGCCCAGCTACAGGTGGCCTATCACCAGCTCTTCCAAGAGTATGACAACCACGTCAAGAGCAGCATGGCGAGCAGTGAGCGGAACCGAGTGAGTATGGCAGGACTGACCTTGTTCTGCTTCCTCTCCCTGTGGCCTGGGAACAGAGAAGAGCATGGGGCCTGCTCCCCCCATTTGGGGATGTTGGAACTTAAGGCCACAGCTTAAGGCTTGATAGAATGGGCTTTTAGCTGGGATCCTTGACATGTCTTAGAGCTTTGGCATGGCTGCAGGGTGACAGCCCCAGGCAGGCTGTCAGGAGATAGGGATGTTTGGGCCACGCTGCTTGCTGCCTGTGGCAAACTGGCCTGGGCCTCTGGGTGCTTCCTCTGTTGGCCGGGAACATGCTCATGGCCACAGCTGGTCCCTCCTGCCAGCCAACATCAGCTCAGCTCCTGGCATGGGTGTCCCCGGTGGTAATGTTTCTATCCCAGTGTTGAAGGTGGCTGAAAGCCCTTTTCCAGTTTGTCCTCATCACATCTGTACTGGGTGCAGTTTATACCAATCATATTTTCAGAAAGATGTTGTCAAACATGAACATAGTCAGAGGAGACTTGTCAGGGAAAAGTCTGAAAATGGGTCACATGAGGAAGAGAGTTAGTTACAAATCTGTGGACCTTTGCTCTCCAGACGGAAGAGTTACTGGTATATGTGGGCATCTGCATCTGTATGTGTGTCTGCGTCTGTATGCATCTGTGTACGTGTGTCTGTAGTGTTTGCGTGTGCGCAGTGTGTGTATGTATGTGTGTGTGTCCTTGGGTCTGCAGGTGTGCATGTGCAGGGCAGGGGGTGTCTATGAGGGGACTATTAGGCCTTTGGCCAGCTGGCAGAGTGGAAGAAGGACTGACAGGTCTCAGCTTAGCAGCTGGGATGTGGCAGAGTGTTAGTGTGGGAGACTGGCTTGGTGTAGAGCAGGAGGTCTCAGGAGGGAATGTGGCCCCTGTCCCTTGAAGGGTTGAAGAAGGGTGTCCAGTTCAGTATTCTGGGAAAGGAATGTTGGCATGGGTGCGAGGTTGTGCCAGATGACCTCAGAGGTCCCTTCCAGCCTCCACCTTTCCTGTGCCCTGCACACGCTGACATACTGTAGTCAGATTCATCCTGGTACAGGCCCGCTAGAGTGACCTTTCATTCCCCTTGGTTGTTGCCCAGAGCAGCAGCTGGCCTGGCTCCCGTCTGGGCTAGCTCAGGCTCTGTCAGCTCCCCCTTGCCTATATCTAGGGAATGCAGCTGGAAGATCTCAAGCAGCAGCTCCAGCAGGCTGAGGAGGCCCTGGTGGCCAAACAGGAAGTGATCGACAAGCTCAAGGAAGAGGCCGAGCAGCACAAGACTGTGATGGAGACCATCCCAGTGCTTAAGGCCCAGGTGAAAACTCTTCTTTGGCTTGCACATTTGTGAGCAGATTGCGCGCACTGGCTCTGGGACCTGGTGTGTCTCTGCTGTCACTTTGCAGTGGCTTCTCAGAAGGTCCTTGTGCTGTTGCTTGACCTTTCAGTGCACTTGGGGTGACTCTCTCTGCTGTGGCTTGGTGAAGGCAGGAGAGGGCCCCACTTTGCTCCCTGGTGCCTGGCACAGAGTGTCCAGTGAGTGGCCGATGGATGGCAGGCACATACCCCTCTCTTGTCTTGCCTAGGCGGATATCTATAAGGCAGACTTCCAGGCTGAGAGGCAGGCCCGGGAGAAGCTGGCTGAGAAGAAGGAAGTCCTGCAGGAGCAGTTTGAGCAGCTGCAGAGGGAGTACAGCAGGTTGAAGGCCAGCTGTCAGGAGTCGGCCAGGTGGGCCTTAGAGCAGGTGCCCATGAGGGGTAGGGCTGGGTGCCAGGGGTCTCCCGTAGTAACCACCTGAGACTGAGTGCTCCTGCCTGGTCAGGCTTCTGCCTCTCCTCCCTCCTGTCCTGCCCCAGCTTTGTACACCCTGGAGCTTGACTCACATGTATTGATTGGATGGTTTCTCTTCTCCAAGGATTGAAGATATGAGGAAGCGGCATGTAGAGGTTGCCCAGGCCCCCTTAGCCCTGGCCCCAGGTGAGTGGGCTATAGGAGGGGTATGGAGGGCAGGGTGGTGGGAAAGGACTGTGGTGGAGGGAGGTGTGGTTCAGCTCCTGAGCTGCTCTACAGGGTGCAGTACAGCACACCACCTGGGTGGCAGGTGCTCCACTGGCCAGTCTGCTCCCTGCTGTGGGCGAGGCTAACGGGGAGTAGCTGCTGGTGGTTGGATCTGGGGGCTTTCTGTCTTCCCCTTCCACAGCTCGTGCCACACCTAGCACCCCTTCTGTTTCCCCAGCTTCCCACTCCTTCCACCCGGCCCTGCCCAGCCAGAGGAGAAGTGCCCCTGAGGAGCCACCCGACTTCTGTTGCCCCAAGTGCCAGTATCAGGCTCCTGATATGGATACCCTGCAGATACACGTCATGGAATGCATCGAGTAGGGTCACTTGCTGATGACGAGCTCAGGACAGTGCAATCCGTGCTTTCCTCTCCCACCTGCCTAGTCCTGAACTACAGGCTAGGTGACAAACAGCAGGCCACTCCTTTGGGCCCCCAGAGCTAGTTGCAGGGCCTTATGCTTTAGCTCCCTCACCTGCTGGTTTGTCTCCTTTAGGGCACATGGAGCCCTGGCTAGGCTGATGCTCTGCTCTTTTTGTTCATTCTTTCTGCTTGAAACACCTACCTCTGGGGCTCCCTTGTCCACATCCACTGGAGAAGATAAGAATCAAGGCTGGGGAGATCAGGACGATCACCCAGGCCAAGCTGGGCAGGAGAGCTCACCCATACAGCACTGTGGTGCCAGTGCTCCCATGGAGTGTGTGGGATTCCATTTGGAGGCTATACCACCTGGATTTAACCAGTCTGTTCCTTATGGACATTTGGGTTGTCACCAGTCTTTTTACTGTCATAAATAATGCCACGGTGAAAATCCTTGTGTCATTGTGTATCTCGGTCAGATTCCTAGTGTCGCACCACTGAGTATTTGTACACCAGGGAGATGGTGCTGGTGTCTCCTCCCCTGCACCCCACCCACCCTCCCTTGGATTTCCCAGTCCCCCTTTGTTCCTCACAGCCTTGCCTGGGTGAGAGGAGTCCAGCACGTTGGCTTTCCCATCCATCATCCATCAGGCATGCAGTTCTCTAGCAGGGGTGACCTTGAGCATCTTTTCACATCTTCAAGGGGCCTTTTCAAATCTAGTACACACGGCTTGTTCATATTTCTTGCCCATTTTTGAATTGGTCCTGTAGTCTGTTCCTCAGTTTGTGGGAGCTTTGGGCATTACTGGGATGAGTCCTTGTGTGTGATAGGGGCCATGGTGACATTTTCCTACTCTGATGTGAAGCCTCCTGGCTTTGCACAGTCACATCCACCTGCCTGCCTTCACTGCTTTGGGCTCACAGTCACTGCAGCCACTCAAAACTGCACTTTGATGGAGGTGGTGTGCTTCCTGCAGTACACTTTTCCTGTTCTGTCCTCCCCAAGAGCATTGCTGCCCAGCACGGAGTGCTGATGGGCTGTGCTTCACATCCCAGAGACTGCTGCTTGTGTGCAGGTAATCGACACAGGCAGCAGAGAAGGGCAAGGTGACCAACAAGCAGGAAGGGACTTTGTTCTCCCAGCTGACATACATGCCACCTGCCTGTGACCACTTCTATCGCCATGAAAAGGCAGAAGAATCTGGTCCAGTCAAAAATCACTCAGACATTTGGGGGCGGAGCCAAGATGGTGGTGTGAGTAGGGCAGTGGAAATCTCCCAAAAACGTATTTTTGAAAATACAACAAATACAACTAATCCTAAAAGAGAGACCAGAAGACACAGGACAACAGCCAGACAACATCCACACCTGTTAGAACCCAGCGCCTCGTGAAGGGGGTAAGATACAAGCCACAGCCCGGCGGGACCCGAGCACCCCTCACCCCAGCTCCTGGCAGGAGGAGAGGAGTCAGAGCGGGAGGGAGAGGGAGCCCAGGACTGCTAAACACCCAGCCCTAGGCGTCCACACTGGAGCGCAGACACACAGTGCGTGCGTGGGATGCTGGAAACTAGGGAAACGGGACAGTAAGACCTGTGAGTGGGTCCCCGCAGCCGGCGCCCCTGGGACAAAGAAAAGCAAGTGCCCTTTGAAAGTCTTAAAGGGACAGAGGCCCCAAAGCTGGACGGAGGCGTCCCAGCAAAATCACCTCATCAGCTGGGAACCCGTGGAATTCTGGGCACCCTAACACCCTGGGCGGCAGCGCAGCTCTGAGGCCCCTCACAGAGATAAACAGCCTCCCACCCGTTCCAGCTCCAGTGTGGCCCAGCCACGCCCACAGCAACCAGGTGCAGAGCTTCCTTCACAGCAGCCAGGCAAGAATCAGAGACCCCATCTGCGCACAGCTGCCCAGCACAAGCCGCTAGAGGTCGCCGTTCTCCCAGGAGAGGAAGGCCACAAACCAGCAAGAAGGGACGTTCTCCCAGCTGACGTGTGCCAACTACCCACGACGATCTCTATAGCCATGAATGTTCCTCATGTAATTGTAGATTAATGATACCAAAAAAAAGACAGAGTAATAGAATGGATAAAAAAGCAAGACCCATCTATATGCTGCTTACAAGAGACACACCTCAAACCCAAAGATATGCACAGACTAAAAGTCAAGGGATGGAAAAAGAAATTTCATACAAACAACAGGGAGAAAAAAGCAGGTGTTACAGTACTAATAGCAGACAAAATAGACTTCAAAACAAAGAAAGTAATGAGATAAAGAAGGACATTACATAATGATAAAGGGGTCAGTCCAACAAATGGATATAACCATTATAAATATTTATGCACTCAATACAGGAGCACCAACATATGTGAAACAAATACTAACAGAATTAAAGGAGGATATAGAATGCAATGCATTCATTTTAGGAGACTTCAACACACCACTCACTCAAAGGACAGATCCACCAGACAGAAAATAAATAAGGACACAGAGGTACTGAACAACACACTAGAACAGATGGACCTAATAGACAACTACAGAACTTTACACCCAAAAGCAACAGGATACACATTTTTCTCAAGTGCACATGGAACATTCTCCAGAATGGACCACATACTAGACCACAAAAGGAGTCTCAGTAAATTAAAAAAGATTGAAATTCTACCAACCAACGTCTCAGGCCGCAAAGGTATGAAACTAGAAATACATTGTACAAAGAAAGCAAAAAGGCTCACAAACACATGGAGGCTTAACAACATGCTCCTAAATAATCAATGAATCAATGACCAAATCAAAATAGAGATCAAGCAATATATGGAAACAAATAACAACAACAACACAAAGCCCCAACTTCTGTGGGACACAGCGAAAGCACTTTAAAGAGGAAAATATATAGCAATCCAGGCATGTTTAAAGAAGGAAGAACAATCCCACATGAACAGTCTAAAGTCACAATTATCAAAATTGGAAAAAGAAGAACAAATGAGGCCTAAAGTCTGCAGGAGGGACATAATAAAGATCATAGAAGAAATAAATAAAATTGAGAAGAATAAAACAATTGAAAAAAATCAATGAAACCAAGAGCTGGTTCTTTGAGAAAATAAACAAAATACATTAGCCTCTAGCCAGACTTACTAAGAGAAAAAGAGAATCAACACACATCAACAGAATCAGAAATGAGAAAGGAAAAATCACGACAGACCCCACAGAAATACAAAGAATTATTAGAGACTACTATGAAACCCAATATGCTAACAAGCTGGAAAACCTAGAAGAAATGGACAACTTCCTAGAAAAATACAACCTTCCAAGACTGACCAAGGAAGAAACATAAAATCTAAACATACCAATTACCAGCAAAGAAATTGAAGCAGTAATCAAAAAACTACCCAGGAACCAAACCCCCAGGCCAAAATATTAGCAAATCGAGTTCAAAAATACATCAAGAGGATCATACATCATGACCAAGAGGGATTCATCTCCAGGATGCAAGGATGGTACAACACTCGAAAATCCATCAACATCATCCATCTCACCAACAAAAAGAAAGACAAAACCCACAAGATTATCTCCATATATGTTGAAAAAGCATTCAACAAATTCAACATCCATTCATGATAAAAACTGTCAGCAAAATGGGTATAGAGGGCAAGTACCTCAACATAATAAAGGCCATATATGAAAAACCCACAGCCAACATTATACTGAACAGCGAGAAGCTGAAAGCTTTTCCTCTGAGATCGGGAACAAGACAGGGATGCCCACTCTCCCCACTGTTATTTAACATAGTACTGGAGGTCCTAGCCATGGCAATCAGACAAAACAAAGAAATACAAGGAATCCAGATTGGTAAAGAAGAAATTATGTCACTATTTGCAGATGACATGATATTGTACATAAAAACCCCTAAAGACTCCACTCCAAAACTACTAGAACTAATATCAGAATTCAGCAGTTTCAGGATACAAAATTAATACACAGAAATCTGTTGCTTTCCTATACACTAATGATGAGCTAGCAGAAAGAGAAATCAGGAAAACAATTCCATTCACAATTGCATCAAAATGAAGAAAATACCTAGGAATAAATCTAACCAAGGAACTGAAAGACATATACCCTGAAAACTACAAGACACTCTTAAGAGAAATTAAAAGAAAAAATAAATCAAGCAATACATGGAGACCAATGAAAACGAAAACACAACAGCCCTGAGTCTGTGGGATGCACCAAAGGCAGTTCTAAAAGGAAAGTGTTTTTCCTGCCTAATTGCCCTGACTAGAACTTTTGAGTACAATGCTGCATACAAGTGGCAACAACTGATATCCTCATCTTGTTCCTGATGTGAGGGGGAAAGCACCCACTCTTTTTTTTATTTCTTTAAGTTTTTTTTATTTTTTATTTTGAGAGGGCTTCTGTGATGTTTATTGATCAAATGGTTTTTAACAACAATAAAATTCTGTATAGGGGACTCAGTGCACAATCATTAATCAACCCCAAGCCTAATTCTCAACAGTCTCCAATCGTCTGAAGCATAACAAACAAGTTCTTACATGGTGAACAAGTTCTTACATAGTGAATAAGTTCTTACATGGTGAACAGTGCAAGGGCAGTCATCACAGAAACTTTCGGTTTTGATCACGCATCATGAACTATAAACAATCAGATCAATTATGATTATTTGTTTGATTTTTATACTTGATTTATATGTGAATCCTACGTTTCTCCCTTATTATTATTGTTATTATTATTATTTTTAATAAAATGCTGAAGTGGTAGGTAGATGCAAGATAAAGGTAGAAAACATAATTTCTCCCTGTAAGAGGGCAAATGTCGATGATCAGGTCTGTGCCTATAGACTAAATATTAATCCAAGCTAGACAAGGGCAACAAAACATCCACGGATGCAGAAGATTTCTCTCAAAATGGGGGGTGAGGTTCTAAGCCTCCCCTCTGTTGATTCCCAATTTCTCACCTGATGGCCCCCCTGTGACTGTGCCTGTCTTAGGTTGTTCCTCCCTTGAGGAATCTTACCTGTCTCTGGCTAACCAGTCATCTTCCGGGGCCATACAGGGAAATGTAAAGTTGGCAAGTGAGAGAGAATCAATATTCTTTGAAAAGATTAGCTTTTTACTTCTTTGCAGATTTATGCCCTGAAGCATGCACTCTTTTACTGTTAAGTATAATGTTATCCATGCGTTTTTCATAGGGGTTCTTTATCAGGTTGAGTAAGTTCCCTTCTATTCCAATTTTATTAAATTTATTTTCATGAAATGGTGTTGGATTTTGTCAAGTGCTTCCCGATCCACCATCTATGAGATGATCGTGAGGTTCCCCCCAACACCGTGCATTCTATTCATATGGTGTATTACATTAGTTGATTTTCATATGTTCAACCAAGCTAACATTCATGGGCTAAATGCCACTTGGTTGTGGTGTATAATGAATGGTCAATAAAC